AAGTACTAAGAAAGAGATAAAAATGGAATCATGATAAGCATTATGTGTTCCTATAGTCTGAATTTTTTTCGGTGCCACGAATTACAGTGTCAACAGAGAAACTACTGCTGAAGTTAACAGAGACCTGCTACTTGCAAAGGAAGCAGGCCTTTGTCAAAGAGAGAGGAAGGAAGACTTACTGCAGAACCTCTACTGTTGTGTTAAAACTGTCTTTCCTTTTACTTTTCATGATGAAATATTTAACAAGTTTGTATAGATTTTGTTGAGGGAACATAGGGGACAGCCTTTGGAAGCCCTACAACTCTCTCAGAAAGTACTCTGCAGTTCTAATCCTTGTATTTATTCCTCTTGGCTTTACTAGGCCTTTGCATTAGCAGTTTATACCAGGCTGTTCCTTCATAAGGCTGTGCTTCAAGAGTCCTAAACAGAACAATGGTAGGGGCAGACATTCAATATACTACTTCTCTCTGAAAAGGACTTCGATAGAGTAAAGATCTGTTACAGTCATAAAGATGGTGCATCATTGTAGGATCATATTTACAGGAAAATGGACATGTACTAAATGAACTAGCCTATAGTTTAAAAATGTTCTATTCCAGAGACTTATTGTGTTGATTGCAATACTGTTAGTATTAATTATTGTATCATGTATACTTAAAGGAATTATGAACATGACTGAGAAAATTATAAATCATGTGAGAGTCTGTTGTCTTCTCACATCTTCGGTAATTGATTTTCAAATAATTTTATTCCATATTAGCATGGGCAGTTTGCTGAAGAGATGATGGTCTAGCAGGCTCTTGATGCAATCCAAGCCAACCCATGTCCTGGTCCAGGTGACTGAGCAGAATACAATCAATCCTCTCTCTCTCGTGTTTGCCTCCCAGTGGTACAGAATATACATAGCTGCAGTATCAGTGCTCCTGCTACAGCATTGCTAGCAAGCTAAAGGACAGGACAGTAATGCTCAGTTGTGAACATATCCCTGGACACTGCATTGGCCCTTATCACGCTGATGAGAACCATAGCCAGAAAGTAGGCAAACTGCGGAGGAGGCTCAGGCCAGGGACCACTCCCCAAAAGCAGAATGAACAGGCCACTCTGTTTCAGAGTAGAGGAATTGATGTTAAAAACACAAGCTATGTATTGTCACTTGCCTTTAGAGACAGAGAAGAGACTTTCTCCATTTTATTTTTAAGTATAGACATAACACGTCTGAAAATGTAAACCATTACCTGGAAAGCAGTCGCCGGTCATACTCATGAAGTGAAGTTCCAAAACACTTCTGGAAGCTCCTGAAAGTCAAGCTTCCAGAAATTTCCAGAAATGAAAATGCAACAATATTCCAATGTAAAAAATAAAATACCTGATGTAACTACTTAGGAATTTATAAGACCTGCACCATCAGGGAATTTAAGAAGTCCCCAAGGTTTAAGAACCAAGCAGAAAGAGCAAAGCTAGGCTTGCTGCTGTGCTGTGGCCAGGGGACGGATCTTGTGGTGTCTCAGGCAGCAAAACTACTCACAGATATTTCCCAGAGCTGGACATCCCTAATGCCTGTCTCTCTTCAACCCTCATGTGGATTCTCAATTATAATACAATAATATATGCTATTTAGAATAATATTATCTGCTATAATCTAGTAATATAGTCGAACTCTTATTCAGACCTCTCCTCAAAGAGAGCTTGAATATGCTCTCTCTCTACTGATTTTCTTATTGCTTTAATGACTTAATATCTTTGAGGTTTAATAACTGCTTCCCTGAAAAATTTGGCTGAAATTGGCAAATAGATTAAATGATTTCATTTTATTATTATGAAAAGATTGACATGGATTCAGCATTACACTGTATAAATTCTTTAATAAGCCTGGTTAAAGAAAAAAAATTCACTATTGACAGATGATGTGATAAATTCTGTTCTGCATATTGATGAAAAGCCAAATTCAAAATGAGCATTTTAACATCAGATGATTATTTAGGTTGGACAATATCTTTAAGATCAATAAAGCTCCAACCATTAATCAAGTGCTGCCAAGTTCACCTCTAAACTGTGTTTTTAAGTGCCACATGTATATGTCTTTTATATACCTCCAGTGGTGGTGAAGAGTAGTCTCTGGGTCAGTTCAGTCCAGAGAGACAGCATGTCTTTAATGTGAGAGCTGTAAACAGATAGACATAAAAATATATGCCTTCTGTAGTCATAATCGGTAACAATTCACCGTACCTGATTTTTATGTGAGGTACATACGTGCCCATAGTAAAGCATAAAGTAGGTTAAAACCAGCTGAAAATTACTTCTTCCAAGCAAAGTGACTGATGAACAGTCAATACTAAGCAGCATAAATTTCAAACAAGGAAAAATATATCAGACTTAAAAATATACAAAGAATATGTTGTACTTTTACACTGAAAGCAACAATGAAATTCATACTAGAATTAGTATCTGTGCAAGGATGGTAAAATCAGAATCTATGCAAGGATCACCTCTTGTACTCAGCACTGGTGAGGCTGCATCTCATGTTTAGGTTTCAGCCCCCCACGAGAACATTGAGGTGCTGGAGTGTATCCAGAGAAGAATAAGGATGCTGGTGAAGAATCTGGAGCACAAAAAGGATGTTGAGGGAAGGCCCTATCACCGTCTACAACTACCTGAAAGAAGGGTGTAGCCAGGTGGGTGTTGAGCTCTTCTTCCAAGTAACAAGCAACAGAATGAGAGGAAATGTCTTCATGTTGTACCAGAGGAGGTTTAGATTGAACATTAGTAAAATTTCTTCATGGAAAGCATTGTCAAGCACTAGAGCAGATTGCCCAGGGAAGTGTTTGGGTCACCATGCCAGAAAGTATTTAAAAGATGTGTAGATGTGGCACTTGGAAACATGGTTTAGTGGTGGACTTGGCAGTGCTGGATTAACAGTTGGACCCAATGATCTTAATAGTCTTTTCCAACCTAGACAGTTTGTTGATTCCTACACTGATGAGAACGAACTTACTTCAAACAAATGTCATTAATTAGAAACTGCTGGGTTTGACAGTCTTTTAAGGAAACTAAGAGACAGTGAAGACAGAATAAGTTGCTCAAGTAGTTCTCTAGTAGTACTAGTGAAATCATATCATTGATGTCATATGGGCTCTCCTAGACAGATAAGCAGTGCTGAATTTTCATATGCCTTCCTCAAAGAATATAACGATCAGTAAGAAAGCTTAAAGACCATTCATTAAGCACACAGCACTGGTGCAAGGAAATTCCTTGTAGAGATCTAGGCTGATGACTGAAATCCTTCCTTGTCTTCTGAAGGCAAGAGCGGTACTATGTTAATGGTACAATAATATTGCCCAGCCACTCTTTCATTTTCTCTTGATTGGATGTCTGAGATATGTTGAGAAAACCTGACAGAGTTCAACAAAAACCAAATGAAAACATAACATGGATAAGGCTATTGCTATGTCTGCTAGTACATGTTCAGAAGAGCCAACACCGTTACCAAGAATTCCTTCCAGGAAGCAATAAGGGCAGCAGTGGGTGTTTTATGAAGACTTGGTAATTTAGTCCTTGGCCCTAAAAACTGGAAACTGACAAAACAATAATATTTCTTTTTTAAAAGAAAATAATTCTCCCAGGCTTCTCAGTTCCCATCTATACCACATCTTTCTCACAGTCCTGCATATGGTAAAGGACATGACCATGCTTTATTAAATATGGAATAGATTCTCTCCTATGGCAGTAGCACGAGTCATGGATTTCACTCAGGTCCATTTTAACCTCCTGTTTCTATGGCTGTGGACAGAATGGTATTTTTGCATAATGTATAAGAAAGTGCCTTGAAAAATTAAAGTAGGCACAACCTTGCAAATACAGTTGGCCTTTAGAAAACACTGAGGATTTGACTGGCATAGGTGGTACTTTGTGAACTAATATAGAAAAACACAGTCTTGCTGTGGAGACTATCCAGCCATGACAAACATGGCTGATAAAAAAATTAACATGAGCGGGTATGGTTGATAAGTATAAGGACTTTTTCTTGGACTTATTAGTTGTCTATCAGATACAAGTTCTGCACTGGGACATGCTCCAGCCACACCAGGTGACGTCCAGTAAAGAGAAAGCCATGAAAAAACACCCTAGAGAAAGGCGGGGCAGCAGGGTTCCTTCTTTTAGCCTAAGCCTACAGCTAGATTGGAGTAAGTTTAACACAAAACTGCATAAGGACTGGCTTGCAGAAAAGGACGTTCTTGAGATTATTTTATTGGCTCCCTCATTTATTGCTTTTTTTAAGCAGCTGTACTGGGATGTAGGAGACTGCACGGTGTGAAAGTTCAGATATGGAATAATAAGATTCAATAGCATGATTATGCATTTTATGTGTGAGGCACCTTTGATTGTGGAAAAAATTAAAGCATGTCCTCCATAAAGCTTGGGATGTTTCTCATAACACTAGCACAAGTAGGTAGATGAAGAGATGTCACATTCCTAATTGTTTCTTTTATCTTCCATGTGATAGAGACAAAGTTCTATTTTAAAGACTTACCAAAAAACAGGTCTTTCATCTGGAGTGTAAAATTCATATGTTCCCTGACCTCATGTGTCACATGGTAATGAAACAACGTAAATCAGAAATGTTAAAAGTTGAAGTTTGTTAATATTACTGCTGAAGCTCCAGTCTCTTTCCTAGTTAAACTGACAGGTCCATAGTCCAAATATATATATTTACAGATTACAATGACATAAAGACAAAAAAACTAATGGACATCAATGAGAAACAAATGTAAATGCAAGTTTCAGATGACTATTAGGAAATTACAAAAAGAAACCACCAAAAAAAAATCCCATGCCACCACAAAAATTACTCATATTTGAAATGGGGAAATAGACTTTCTTTGTACTTTACTACCATCTTACTCCTAAGGAAATGCTTCAGTAATTTACATTTGTGGTGAAAATGTAAAAAAGCATGTATTTTGCATTCTCTTATCTATGTTTCCTTCTCATATTTTTTTTAGCTGTCTGAGCTGAATCAGTGACCAAGATTCAGAAATTTATCTTTCCTGGTTGAGGAAGACATCATATACTGATATTTTGAGGTCAATAAACAAAAGAAGATAGACTCCTACTGGCTTCTGCATTTTTTCCCTCTGTTGTCAGCCACTTCAGAAAAACTGGCTGAATTAGATGTAGGCCAGACGTAGCAAGAGTTCATAAGGCAACATAAAGACTTTGGGGGGACTGAGTTAAGGTCAGTCTAATCTCAGGACACAATAGGTCAGGCATTTTCTTCAGGTACCCACTGGCCTGGGAATTATTAAAATTAAAGAATTAATTTCCCTCTTTCTCTCTCTCCTCCCATAAAATCCACAAGGGTCTCAAAGAGGATCTGAAAACAGATATTTCCATATAGCTCATTTTAAAAAGAGAAATCCAACCCATTAACTCAAGATAATGCCAGAGCATACTGTGCACTTGAGATAATCACAGGTAAGTCTCATATTGCAGTTTTTTTCCATCATAAAACTATTTTGAAAGCAACTACAAACTAGTTCACATTAATTTATGTATACTACTGCTGTCCAAAACTCACACCGCAAAAAAAAACCCCTGCTCTTTCTCCATCAGATGATAGAAAGAAAGACAGTCTTGGAAAGTAGGAGGTGAAATCCTGACTCCATTGTTTTCATTTGCTAAATATGAATTTGCTTCAACAGAGCCAGGATCTCCCCCCAAAAGATTTAGCTATAATAAGCCATGAAATGTCTGATTTAGCTATAGTAAGCCATGAAATGTCTAAGTGGCAGAGTAGAAAAACAGGTTGTGGAGAGTTTGGATTCCCACTTCGCACCCTTAAGCCAAGGACCATAGTAACACATGACATGAGACTATTGTCTTGGCTGTGTCTGAAACCATCAGATTTTCAACCCAGAAGATTCACATTATTACCAGTTTCTGTAGATAATCCTTCTGACAGAGGAATCAACCATTACAGAGATGAGGTGCTTCTTTCATTTTACAGACAGTATCCTGAGGACAACTATCATTACCACATCTGGTGATTCTAGAACTACATCAATTGTATTTTCATTTAACCTATTATTGGCACAATATTCTCTGTTAGTGCTATCCTGACCATCCTGTTTCATGCTCTTGTAAAGGTACCTCTTTAAGTGCAAGGGACTAAGTTTGGGTGAACTGAAGGGAAAAAAGAAAAAAATTAAATTCTTCATCAGAATGAACACAAGCAGCCAGAAATAAGAAAAAGCACATAAACAAGAACTGAATCTGTGCAGAACAATGCAGTGATCAAGGGAATTCAATCAGCACTGCTTCTAGAATCAAATTCAGGACATTAATTCCCACAGTACTTCTAAAGAGTATTTTAAAACCAGTTCTCCGTGTGTGCTAACTGGGATGAATGGAAATTCAGTAAGTAATGAAATTTTACTTGGTTTTGCTTTCTTAACTGCTTGAATTCTAAGAAAAAAGCGTCTACTTTTTTCTCCATCATCAGCTAAAATGATGTATGTAAAATTCAGCATCGCCACCTGGTATCTCTTAAAGCTACCTGTAAGTAATTCTAAGTTAAAACTCAGTATCCATTGACACAGTGAAAGACTGTTACATTTATTTGGCAGAGCTGCATATAGAAAAAAATTTAAAGTACTAATTTTTTTCCTGTCATATTTCCTCCTTTACCTGAATGTCATCTTCCTATCTTATTTATCCTAATTTTTTATATTTATTATAAGACTAATTTTACTACAGCATTATTTACATTGCTTGTCTTGTATTCCTTAAAAGATTGAATGACTTCACCATTCTGTGATTCTATACAATTATGTATGAAATACATACGAGATTATACATAACAGAAATCTCAAAACTATATTTAGCATACTCACCTGAATAAAGGAGTTCCACAAACAACACATTTGTATATTCCTTGAGCTTTGTGGTGTGTGTACTCCCCCTCAAAGGCACTGGGAAAACAACAACACTTCATTTTAAAATTAAAAAAAGGAATCGGTTTTTGGGTTTTTTTAAAGTAGCTGAGTCTTTAGAAAAATGTTATAGAAGAAGCCCATGATTTCTAAGTTGGCAGCTGTTTTTTATTAAAGGTAGCAAATAAAGCAGGCACAGGAAAAGGGGAATGTCCTCATTAGTGTGCCTCGGATGTTACGCATCATGCAAAAGGAAGCAAATTGTCTCACAGTTCAAAGGCTGGAACAACAACAAAACCAAAAGAAGTCTTCCCCTATCTGGCAAGTGAAATGTCAAGTTTTTGTAAATGGATTATTTGGCACGTAGCTCAACCTGCCGCACCTCGCTGTGTCTACGTCTGGGCCGCGTGCAGGGCTCGGCGGCTGCAGTGGAGCGAGGTGTGAGGCCGCCCGGGCACTGCAGAGCCGTGGCGCTGGGTCAGGCCAACACCGGCTGCCCGGGCAGCAGACATTGTAGCTGAAAATGAAATAATTGGTCCAGGATTTCAAGCTGTACGCACCTTATATTTTCAGTTGAAAAGCAATATTCCAGCTTTAAGGGAATATTTTTCTAAGTTAACAATCTAAAAGGCTAGGAGGTCATTCACCTAATACGAATCAGCTGCGCTAGCCCAACAAAAAGCCTATGTGCTCAGCAGCTTGTTTTTATTATCCTTTCACCCTTTTTATGAGGCCCAATTTTTTTTATAAACAGGATTTTTAAGAATGACCTAATCTCCGATTGTTTGTGTGCATTAAATCACGTTGTTGGTCCTGTACACAAGAGCATGGAGGGCTGGGGGGAAGGCAAAGATGGGCCTCCCAGCAAAGGCAACCGTCCCCGCGCCCCGCCAGGGCTGTGACAGGATGGAGAGGGCTGGGGCGGAGAGGGGGATTGTCCCCACCAGCCTCTCTGGCATGTTCAGTGACCAAATTCAGCACTGTCAGGAAGAAGTTTGCCTATTAACCAGGACCCCACGTGCAGCGGGGAGTCCTTCCAGCTCATGAATGAAAACAAGCAGTTACATCATTAGTACGTTTAGAGCAGAGGTAAAGCCAGGGCCTTATGCCAAGCCCAGTGGTATAAATTAGACAACAAAAAATGGCTGGGCCTTGGCAGATTACCTTTGGCTGGAATCAGCTGAGAGAGAGAGACTTTATTCACTAAAAACAATCTTGGAAGTCTGTCCTTTTTTTTCCCCCTCCAGGACTTGAGGCTGGGTTCCAGCGACTAAAGCCATGTGAGGGCAGTTATTGAAAATTTTTGACATTCCAACCACAAATGAGCCAATAAATACCTTCTCCACATGTGCTTCAAAAAGAAATTGGAGTGGGGTGGAAAAGAACTAAATTATGCTACCTTCTTTCTGCAGCCAAACCGTCTATACTTACAATGGCCACCTTCAAAACTCCAGCCTCCTGGCACAGGGCCATTTCCCTCGTGGTTCTGCTTACTGCGATGTCTTCCAAAAAAAGTGCACCTAAACCACTATTACTTCCACACGTTTTGTAGTAAACTAAAAACAGACTCTAAATATGAGCCTGGTGACTTTATAAGACATGCAATGTTCATTAAAAGAAAAAGTCACACAAGACCCTTGGCCCTGGCCCCCCTGTTGCAGATGCTTGTCTTTGCAGTAGTGTTAATTTGTAGGGGTTAGTAAACAAGTGCAGAAATCCTGGAAGAAGATTAAAACAACCAACAAAAGTTGGTAGGGAAGGTGAAGAAACAGCAGTAAGAGGAGGGGTGGAAAAGAAAAATGCCTGTGTTTTTAGATCTGAGTTTCCTTCATCCCGCCTTACCTTTCAGTCCCCTTCTCCTGAGTGACATGGTACTGCAGGGGTGTCAGCCGCTTCCTCAGCTCCTCCTGGGAAAAGACCACCTTACAGTCCTTTTTATCCCTACATGACCCTGCAAAAGGAGAGGATAAGGGAGAAGGAGCCTTTTTAACTTAAATCCTGAATAATTGCTTTGGCAGACAGCCACAGTATAGCTTCTGCATTCACTTGTCAATGAGCAGGCTGGTCCCTAATGCACAAAGAATGGCTCAGCTGAACTGCAGCTGATTATTTATTCAAATATAAGTACAGAAAAGAATTTTTATAGAGAACCAGGTGATTCCGCTGGAGCAGTGACAGTGTGCTACAGCCAAAGCCCTTTGGTGTGTTATACACTAAATTGTTGCGCACACAATCATTCACAAGAAAGTGCCATTTTTGACCATTAAAAAAAGATCTGCAAAAATCCCAACTACAGCTGAAACATTCTTTACAAGACATCTATATTAGAGACTTATGGTAATGGGCATATGATGTTTAGCCATAACATCTGGCAATTTCAGTACCCTTTAAAGTAGCTGAAAAACAATTCTAACCTTCAGAATTACAGTAAGGTTGATTTAATTTCTAGTTGCATCCTCATCCTTTATAACAGTAGCCTTTTTCTTTTTTCACTGTTGAAGCATTAGAATAGAGTCCTAAGGAGTGTTATTTCTTTATGCACAAAGCTGTACAAGGTTCAACAATAAACTTGTAAAATTTGTTGCAAAGGAGGGTTGCTGTTGAAATTACCCTCCTCCAAAAATCTAATCTTAACACTTTGCTTAGTTCACACAGAAAATCCAAGGAGTACATAAGGTTTACTGTAAAAAATCAACATTTGTATAGTGCAAAAATCCACATTTGGAAAGCAAAAAACAACAATATAGTTACTTTTGGGAATGAAAATTCCCAAAGTAGTAACATAAATTGCAAAATATTCAGGTAACTTTGATAAACATTGGAAAAAATTAGCTGACAAAATGCAGCAAGGAAAAGCACTCTAATTATGACAGTAATTAAAATATGGTACAATAAGAAATAAACACTCCCAACAAAAATATTTTTTGCTGGTAATGTATATATACTCATAAAAAGACCAATTGTGTTCTCAAAGTAGAGGCAACAGAGCTACCCATCTGTATGTCATTTAGTACAGGAGAGGCAATGGCAGGTTTAAATTACATGGTATTGGATTGCAATTTCCTAACATTGGATGCTTTTCTGCTTTTTTACCTTGAGTCATTACTAAGGAGCGTTCATAAAAAGTAGCTTAGAGCACAGATGCTTGCAAATCATTTAAGAAAAGATGTTTCTTTCTTCC